AATATTTATTGACTTTATCAATAATTAGTCTTTTCTTAAAAATTTGACCGATTACTTTCAATAAAATTTATTTTTCTCAAAAACATTATTTTGAATTATTAATAATTTACTTTAAAAATATTAAAATTATTTATAAATAAATATGATAAATAAAAAATAAAATAGATAAAAAGCCATAAAAATCCCTAAAATCTTCAATTAAGGAAAGACTCCTAAAAACTTTATCGTCGAAGAGAAATTTTGTAGATTATTATGTTTATACTAAAATTTGATTTGTTTTTCAATAAAAAGTAATACTAAAAAGTAACCCTAATTTGTTTTATAATTTTTTGTCCATTAATAAAACTTATTTTTTGTAGTGTCATAAGGGAAGTGGAGTTACAGTGATCCTACCTAACCAAACATTTTTATTTTGATACAGATGAAGTCATCGTAATATTTGTGTAAGTTAGTGAATTAATACTCAAGAATATGAAACAGGAATAGGTCATGTTATATGTACATTAATTTCAAACAAGCATACAAACGGGTAATATAGTACGACCTATATCAAGCCACCCTCATTCTGTAATGTCGACACTCATTTTCCACCCTCTATCATTTTTCATTACGTTGTTGGCCACTAGGAACTACAAAAACAATATTCTAGTCATCATACCCCACCTTCACAATAATAATAGTAATTAGTAATAATCAAACAAGATTTTATATGGTATATAAGACTGCGTTATCGTGTATATATAATATATATCTTATCGATATGTTAAATAATACTTCATCAGCAAAAATTATATCTCGCAAATACTTTTGATTATTAGTTTTAAAATATTGTATAGATTATGCTTATGAGAAGAAAAAAAAAAATCTTATCTATGTTAATACCACACACTTACACCTCAAATGACCAAAGGACAATAAGAATCTGTTTAATTATTTATGTATCCTACATCCACGAATTCAATTTCAAGCCACTTCATTTCATTTCATGATATATGATTTTATATGGTTCTGTCTTTGACCATAGGTGCAGGATAGCTAGGTAGCTCCACTTTAGTGAATAAACAAGAAATCCCAGTGTAATCATTCTGCGATTGCAGTACAATGGTGATGTACTTAGCCTGAGAGCTGGCACTGACTCGTTGTGGCAGGAGAGTAAGATATATAGCAAGCCACAAGGACGAGTGGGTCTGGATCGATACTCTCTGAATCAGAGACACTCAGGCATGCAAACAAGGATTATCAAAGATAGTGATTACTTGTCAGTTGTGAGACAAGTGTTTTTACACACAATGATCAAAGTTTTAGACCTCAACTTACATGATATAGTTCACGGATAACTTTATCATTCAAGTGTGTGATAAAAGATTCAACTTTAAGATTGTTGAGAAAGATTAACTCCTTAAAGAATCTTAGTATCTCAAGAGATTAGTAACCGACTCTCGACAAGAGATATTCTAAATTCACCAACACAAAATCTTTTCGACCAAAAACACCACTTTGAAGCAATGGCAATGTGAAAACACAAGGGAATAAGGGCCCCAGAGAGCACATGTTGTGGCAGTCAAAGCAAATCAGTGTAATTTGCACACCAAGTTGACGACTCAGGACTCTGCCATTGCCCTGCTACTTTTGCATCCATTTGGTATAAGTGGTTTAATAAAAAAGAAAAGGTTTGGCTCAGGTATTGACTGGTACAAAATATGTTAAAAGATGCAATGCCAAGCCCTCCTTCGCTCCACTTCATCACTTATCTGGCAGTTTTGTGCTAAAGAAACATACACAAACACTTTAAACATCAAACACCAATTTATGTGGTAAATATATTAATAACTATAGCCTCGTATATAAGCTATCTGTTACCTGGTACTGTTCCTTACATCGAAACATTTTGTTTTATCCACCTCTATTCATTACTTGTAGACCATTTACTTTGTCTCCTCATTCAAATTCTCTATGTGCATTACTATAATTTAGCTAGGTTTAGGGTTAAACTTGAAACACTTTATTTCATTATCTTTTTGTGTTATTTGGTTATATACCATGCTTAGGGTTTGAAGTAGTGGTGTATTTTGAGCCTTCATCTCCTCCTCCGTCTCTGCATCTGAATAAAATGAGATACAGAACGTGTTCATTTGTGTTATTTAAGTTGAAACTATCACATGGTAAAAAAACTTGAAATAAAACACACAAACAAGGGATAGATTATAGAAAATAGAGAGGTTTTCTGAGCTTAGAATAACTATATATATTTACCTAATTTCCTTGTTTGGCTTTCCTGATTCTTTTGACTATCCACGATTGTGTTTATGAATTCATATTGAATCTGTAATAAACTAAAACACCCTATAAATATATCACTGTGCGTGTGTTTATTTTTCTGCTCTGTTTTTCCTTTTCGTGCATACTATTTCCTGCTGAGTGAAACAGAA